AGAATGGATGAAATTTTCTTAAAACATAAAGAATTTTGTATAGTATATATAGATGATATTCTAGTATATAGTAAAAATATAAAAGAACATATAGGACACTTACATGTAATATTCTCTGAGTTTGTTAAACATGGAATTATAATTAGTAAAAAGAAAATGGAATTGGGAAAAACTTATATTAAATATTTAGGATTAGAATTAGGAGAAGGTACTATGAAACTACAACCTCATATTTCTCAAAAAATTATAGAATTTCCTGAAGATTTAAAAGATTTAAAAACATTACAAAGAATCTTAGGATTATGTAATTATGCTAGAAATTTTATAAAAGATTTTGGTAAATATTTAGGACCATTCTATAGTAAAGCATCAATAAAAGGACAAAGGTATTTCAATAATGAAGATAAAAAATTAGTTAAACAAATAAAAGAATTGGTAAAAAGTTTGCCTCTTTTAACATTACCACTAAATACAGATTATGGAATAGTAGTAACAGATGGATCAGAATTAGGATAGGGCGCTGAGTTAAGAAAAAAGCCTAATAAATATTCATAAAAAGAAACAGAACAAATATGCAGGTACGCTAGTGGAAAACATAAAGTAAAAAATCGTAGTTCTATAGATTATGAAATAGAAGCAGTAATCAAAGGATTAGATGCATTTGAAATTTTTATTGTAAATAGAGAATTTACTTTAAGAACTGATTGTGAAGCTATTGTAAAATTTTATAATAAATTAAATGAAAATAAATTAGGAAGAAGAAGATGGTTAATATTAAAAGATAAATTTATTAATCATGGGTACAAAATTAATATTGAACATATTAAAGGAGAAGATAATTATATAGATGATTATTTATCCAGAATTATAACTAATTCTTGATTACAATTTTCAGATGAGACCAGGAAACAATCCTAGAGCAATTATGTATAATCAAGAACAACAGCAACGTATCTTAGAACAAAATCGTTATCAAAGACCAGTAGAACAGAAAACTGTAATACCAGCTACAAACAATTTAAGTTTTGGTAATGTTAATCTCCAAATATACCCCAGTTCTAATATATCTTTTAGACCACTAGTAGGACAAACTTTTACTTTAAAACAGAAATGTATTTTAGATAATTTATGGGTCTCATTTAATAAAGAACCTAAAGATAGAAAACATTTTATAGCAGCCATGAATGCTTTAGGATATACTTTTAATTTAAGCCAAGAAAGATTTCGATTTTATGTTGTGTTTGAAGGTAATAATCCTGGAGTCTTTAATTCCTGGATAGATGTTGTAGAATCCACCAGAAATTTTAAAAATCCAAAGTATAAAGGTTTCCATACAATAGATGAAGCTTTTTCTGCTGCAAGATCTTTCATAGGTCCTCATTTTCATATCCATCCTTCTCTCAGAAATTTTACTGAACCATTAGCATATCTAAAAGCTTCCAGTAGTCAGACAAAAGTTATATTTTGTGATCAATGTGAGATCTTATCCAGAACAATCAGAAATCTTAATGAGGAAAAAGAATATCTTGTTGAAGAAAGGGAGAGACTTCTCAAACAGATATTTACATTACAATAAGAAGTAAATAAATTTCAGCAAGAATCTTATGGTTCCCCGGCCACAAAAGCAAGTGAGATAGGTAATTGCTCCCTTCTGAGCAATCAAGAAGCTAGCATAGAAGCAGGTTCTATGCCTTCACAAGCTCAAATAGTGCTTGATGATGAAAAAACAAATCCGTTAAAGGCTGTGGCTTTGCCAAAAAGCCAAGAAGAAAATACTCTAGAAATACTAAAAAGAAAAATAGAAGAGATATTAAATGCTCAAAAGGAGATCAGACAGCTAGTAGAACCTGAAAAAGATAAAGAAGAAGAAGATATATCTTCGCCAATTTCTGGAGACTCCATGGACACAATTGGAAGACAAAACATTGGGGACAAAGTCTAGGTGCCAGACCCTATAGCCCAGCCATCAAGACTCTATAGACTAGCTATCAGACTTTATGAAAGGTTGTCAGAAGAAAAGAAAATGTCGGCAGAATTGTGTCCATAGAATAATTCTGAATAGAAAACGTCGGCAGGTCATTTTGTAAATATTAAGTGTCGGCAGGGTTTTTTTTTTTTTTTAAAAAAAGCTTGTGAAGAAGTTTTGTCAGGAATCCTACTTTTATCTGAAGTGACGATGGGGCCCAATGAGTACCCTACTCATAAAAGAAAGGATTACCTGTTGTATTTTAATTTCGTGTTTCAATTCTGAGTCTATAAATAGGTAGATGGTTTAATTGTAAACATATCGAGTGAAGTGTGCAAGTACTCTGAGTTATAAACATCTATCCATGTGTTCGTCTCTGTAATACTTCTCTGTTTATAATAAAAGTATTTTATTTTCTGAAAACATAAGCTCGCTTTAATTCTCTCAGCTCCTTTAGACATCTTTCGGGGATTTCCGAAAGGGAAATCCTTCTCCTTTCCTAAGGTATTACTATGTCTTCTTAAAAGTTTTTATTTTACGTATATGTATATTCTTCCCCTTGTTAGTTTCTCTTCTGTATATTTTATATTTTCTCATAATATAAAACTGAGTTAGGTAGTCTTGCCCCGTCTGGTATGATTAACTGTTCACCAACCTAATGGAGCCAATAAGTGACCTACATAATTAATTAAAGTAAAGATTAAGGTCCATGGTAAATGTAGTTAGGATAAGTGAACAGTAACATAGGATCCTTTGACACCGGTGTCAAATTTGAAGTTTGACACCTCATCTGAGAGCCATTAGATCAAAAAAGATCAACGACTCTGATTTGTAAGCATGTGACACCATTGATCTTTTTTGATCTAACGATTCTCAGATGAGGTGTCAAACTTCAAATTTGACACCGGTGTCAAAGGATCCTACCTCATATATAAATGAAAGCTATTTGATATTAATTATAAAATGAAGGAATAGAATAAATATAATTAGATGTATCAGTTTATTCGAACTATATCGGATGATACACTCGGCAAGAATAAAACTTTATTCGAAATGAAGGAAATCCTTCTCCTTTCCTAAGGTATTACTATGTCTTCTTAAAAGTTTTTATTTTACGTATATGTATATTCTTCCCCTTGTTAGTTTCTCTTCTGTATATTTTATATTTTCTCATAATATAAAACTGAGTTAGGTAGTCTTGCCCCGCTGGTATGATTAACTGTTCACCAACCTAATGGAGCCAATAAGTGACCTACATAATTAATTAAAGTAAAGATTAAGGTCCATGGTAAATGTAGTTAGGATAAGTGAACAGTAACATAGGATCCTTTGACACCGGTGTCAAATTTGAAGTTTGACACCTCATCTGAGAGCCATTAGATCAAAAAAGATCAACGACTCTGATTTGTAAGCATGTGACACCATTGATCTTTTTTGATCTAACGATTCTCAGATGAGGTGTCAAACTTCAAATTTGACACCAGTGTCAAAGGATCCTACCTCATATATAAATGAAAGCTATTTGATATTAATTATAAAATGAAGGAATAGAATAAATATAATTAGATGTATCAGTTTATTCGAACTATATCGGATGATACACTCGGTCATTCTCTAAAAATATCTTTCTGTTTTATTTAAGGGGAATTTCCTATTTATTTTTATTTCAAAAAAAATCTTGCGCCCCCCCCCCCCCCCCCCCCCCCCCCCCCCCCCTCCTTCTCTTTTTTTGGGTAGGGGATACACGGAGTCTTTAATGGCACAGGATTACGAAGAATTTTTCTTATTTTGCTGAAAACCACTACTTTGTCTATAAGAAGGCTATATTAAATTTTGGTTGAATATACTATTTTTTATTTGATTTGTTTATTTAAGTCAAATTCAGAACAGGATGCTAACACGAAAATCGAATTCTGTGTGGTTTTGGCTTGAATACAAAATTTTGAATTTTAAACTAAATCACTTTTTTTAAGAACCAGAGTAAAAGAATGATATTTTTCAGGATTCAAAACAGTTTATTTGGTACAAGCACAACCCAATTTGCTTTTCAATTTCAAAACGTCAATATGTTATTTAAATTTTAAACTTTCTCAAAATAAAAAACAAACTTTTAATTTGGGTTAAGATTTTACAAATTTTTTTTGAAAATATCTCAATCGTTCATTGCTCGCAACTAATCCGATTCGAGACTGGTCCAGGATTAAAGCTTTAATCCTTTTCAAAGGTGATATTGGGAAGATTCGAATACATGCTCTCACTCTTACTTACTTAGCTCCCATGCATCAATCGAGCTACCACCATTTGGTAGATTTTACAATTCTAAGTATAAGATAAGAGATCTGTTTTTTAAGGGAAAAATATTTTTATGTGTGTTGTAGAATTTTTTTAATTCACACTCACATAAAAGTGAGTCTTATTGAGCAGACAAAAGAGAAAGATATTTATGAGATCTACTCAATGTTATATAAATATAAGACATGAATCTTTTTCGGCAAAAACAGAAAATATTAAAAAAATTTAAGGACATACATCGGAGAAAATTATTATGAAATAGAATTAAGGAAATGTTATATTTACAAATTTTTTGTTTACAAATTCAATTGTGTATTTTCGAAAATAGACTCAACTAAAAATATATTTTCCGAAAAACATAATATAATTTATAAGAGTTTGTAAATATAACCTGATTAAAACCGAGAAGGTGGTAAAACTTTAAACTTTAAAGGAAAATGCTAATATAAGGGAAAATATTATCTTATGCTGTAGGAGAGTATTTTTTTCTCCTACATATACATCGACTTTCGTGTTACTTTTTTTTTTTCTTTTTTTTTTAAGTGAGTGAGTCTCACTAATAATTATCTTTATGACATAAGAGAGCTTCTCTTATCTCACATGAGATTAATAAAGCCAATAAACTAAACGGGGGCAGTTTTATTGCATATTTCTGAGTTAGAAGCAAGGAATCTTGTGCTGTATACATACATATCCATAACCCAATTTGTAAATTACATTACACTACACGAGACTGGTACATTTCATTGTTCAAGGTGGGGCCATGCTCATGATCTTCCATTTAGTTTCCTTTTTCCACCGTATATATTCTCAAGAATACCTTACCATCTTTTTAAATTAGTTCACATCACTTTGGTTTTTAACTTTCCTTGCATTCTTCTTCACTTCACCTGCTTCATTCTAAAGTGTCAACCCATAACATGAATAGAAATAATGGATACAGAGAGGAAAAATCATGCTGCTATTTCCACCCAAAACAAGTAGTTGTGGGGGTATGCCCCTTGTGCTTGAATGAGAGGCTCCTCTTAGTGGCTGCAAAACAGGGTCGTCACCACAACCACCCTTCTGCCTCCAAAGCTTCACAAAGGCCTCAAAGTTCCATACATAATAGAAAGCCATCCACTTCTATTCACAAGATCTTTGCTTTTGGTTCTCTCTTCACTCGCCCAGAATCCTGGCTCTGGAAATCTCAAAACTATGAGTATGATATCTCTCCTAGTCCAGAAGGTAATAACTTAATTTTAGTTATATAGCTAGCTAATGTTAATTTTTTTTTATATTTTTTATTTATTCTTCTTCCTCAATCTATCTTATTCTTTCAATATAAATAAAAATAATTTATTTTTTCCTTTGGTTGTGATTATAATTTTTAGCATTATTAGTGGGGAATATTTTACCACTTGTAATGTTATGGTGAGATGGGAATTGCTTTCATTATTGGAGGAGAATTATCAGTGCATGTTTGTGTGTCTTCATGTGGAAGATTAGATTGTGATGATGACGAAATTAAGGTCAAAAAGCGTAGCTGCTAAGATAGGAAGGCTTTCGGTTATGTCATTCTTTTCTTCTTGGCTTGGCATGTAAGTGTCAGATGCAAACGCCAAAGAGTATTATTACATTGAAAAATTATATTGCAAGATTATGGTCTATGGATTTGGTAGGGAATTAGGGTACCTAATTAATCTGGCAAAATGTCATTCATGTTTATGAAAGGTATATATGTGATGCCATTATTGAATGTCCATAACTAATATACAGTATCATGAAAACTCTTTCCAATTACATTTATTTTAAATCCGCGTTCAATCAAATCCGTCGGCAGCACAATAGACACGCAGAAAATATTAGGTGTATATTACCTCAATTTAGTGCAAATATATAATATCACATTGACTTTATTTCTTCTTCTTCTATATATATATATATATATATACCCAAAATTCGAAGTTTCGTTAGGTACAAGAATACAACATAATTTAAAGTACAAACCTTAGAATAATATAATAAAGTATTTTCTTCTTTTCTCTACCTTTGCCAAGAATTTTACATCTTTTCCTTTTGTCTTGGTAGATACGAATTATGACAATAATATTGTGGAATGACTTTAACTTTTTTTTTGTAGACTCATTCATCTCAATCAAGTTTGAAGAAAATGGGGTGGCCTCGTGGGAAAAGAGCACAGTCTCAAAGGTGTCCCTAGAGAACTGCAACAAGATGTCATGGAACATCCGAAACAAGGACATGAGCAAGGAGACCAAGAGCGTGATAGAACATGGGAAGTCACGTGACACGTTTAGGTGGCGAAAGCGGATAGGTCACATGTTCCAGCTCATCCGGTGGAAGAAGACCGGAGGTGTGTGCCACGTTGGCAGCAAGGTAGAAGGAGTTAAGGTCAGAAAGGGTTGGGTGAGGACTCTGACAAAGAGGAAGACGACCATGGAATAAAGGAACCCCTTTAAAAGAAAAGAAAGTGACACCAAAGAAGAAGACCATTTCTGCCTTTGGTTCTCACTTTGCAGTGTGACTACTGTAAAGTTATAGAATACTATTCACATGCTAGAGTCAAAAATAGCTTTGTTACTCTTTCGAAAATGTGCTTTATATTACAAGAAAGAAAAAAGAAAAAGAAAAAGAAAAAGAAAAGGCTAGTGCTTTGCATGCTTTCAGCACTTGGGGTGATGGGGTTCTTTGTGTAATTCTATTGCTGTTTTTTCTTTTTTTTCTTTTTTTAATTTCTCCATCAATACTAGAGAGTACAGGCTGTAAAAGAGTTTGATGAAATTTCTTTGGTTTTGAGATTTATACTTAAAATAAGATGAACATTTGATAACTTTTTTCCATACTGAGGCACTGCCAAAACTCCTCATGTTAGGTACCCATAGTGGGAAACAATGAAGCATAAGGGCCCTATTGCATAATGCTACAGTACTTGTCTTATAGTTGTCTTAGTGGGAGAATGTCTTTGTTCCCAATTTTCAAAATAACACTCAATGATTGTTTTTTAAATAAGTGTTAACTAATTAAAATAAATAACTTGCAAATTATTTGTTCAAATAATCTCATCAAACATCAGTTAGTTCTTCCCACGCAAGTCATACTGCATGTGTGCTTGTCCGATTAGGCCTCTATAATATGCTTAATGGTATCCTATACAAGGCCATTTTGTCCCCAAGTGATCGATGGCATTAGGGGTAGGGACATGAATTTGCCACATCAGGACCACAGTGCAAGGGGATGGTAGAGAGAAACTTTATTCGGAGCAGACGAAAATGACAAGACATAATCGAATCTTCACCCAACTAAAATCAACAAGTGCATCAGATGAGGGGAATGGTGGAAATGTGGCACCATTTGGATCATACGAAATTATATGATCGAAATTATTTTGTATTAATTGCTTTATGACTAAGTTTAGGATATATAAAGGCCACTTGGCCCAGGCGTAGGATGAGTAGCTTTAACCTCAGTTAAGGCTTAGATACTTGCAATCGAAGAACTAATGGATTTCCTTTCAAACAAAGAAAACTGAATTTATGTCAAATTGGTGAAATAGTACAAAAAAGAAGCTTAGAAGAAGATAGGAAAGCGCATCAACAACTGATAAAAATCTATGTGCGCATTTATTTCATGTATAAAATTAAGAAATTGTACAGTGTGTCTCTCCACCAAAAAGTGGTTATATGTTAACATCCTCCATACCATTATAATTTCTCATTTAATGCTTAATCTTTTGATTATTTGTATTGTATCTCTTTATTAATTGTTGGTATATCTGTATTTGCATGTGTCTGTATATGTGCTTGAGAGACAGAGGTTGTTTCTCCATGCCAAGGCCTGCATGTGTACATGTGCTTCTCTGGTATATAACTGTGTAACGCATTGCATAAAAAAAACATTATTACTTTATGTGATGGGAACGGAGAAGAGTGGCAACAGGGGATTCCTCAAAGTTCTACTATTGATAAAGTGAACTCATCCGTGACATATGACAACATAGAGCAGCAACTATGCACCTAACTGTAGTTGCTTTGGCTACAAGCCTACAATTATAAGGGCCTTTAGTAAGCCATTTTATTTTGTTTTGTCAAACCTCACAAAAAAGGGTGAAGTTGCTATATATATGTTGCAACTTATTGGGACATAGAATTTTTTAATATTTTCAATTACTGTAATTTTTTTATATTTTAATTTCAGTTAGTTATGGTTCTATTGCTTTTAATAGTGACATGTAGTAATTGAAAATCATTAAAAGAAATATTTCAATTTATCTCTGTAATTCCTCAATCTTATTCCTTGATTCTCTCTTTAATTCCCATCTAATTCCTCCTTTCCCTGCCACCTTCCTTCCACTATTTCTCTCTTTTTACCAAATCTGCTAAAATGGTTGCTACAATATCAGAGTGTAACCCAAATATTATAAAGATCAATAATGGCAATTTAGACTCACAGACACCTGAATAGCTAGGCCTCTGTGACTGTTTACAACCTCCATTCTGTCCCTACCTACTGGTTTATCTATCTTGGTCACTTATTCCTTAATTTCTCACTTTCTTGTCAATTTCATTTCAGAGTTACATCGTAACAGCCCACGTGAAATTAAACCTCTCCTTTGTTGCCGTCTCATTGATGCCCCCTTTTTAACTTGGAGCCTGAGATTTGTTGCTTGCAATTTATTTGTTTCAGATCACATCTTATAATATTTGTTTAAAAATAATAATAAAAATATCAGAACGTGTATTTATCCTGTTTTATTATTTAAAAATTAGAGTAAATACTCTTTTTGGTCCTCAATAAATTTCACGATACCCGCTTTAGTCCTTAGCAAATAAAAAGGTCCATCGTGGTCCTTAAGAAATTCAAAATGGACCTATTTTAGTCATTTTAAGGAATATGGGTCTTTTTGAATTTGTGAGGGACCACGATTTCAACTAAATGGGTCCATTTTGAATTTTTTAAGGACTACGATAGGCCTTTTTATTTACTAGAGAATAAAGCGGACATCGTGAGATTTTCTGAGCAACAAAAAGTGTATTTACTCTAAAAATTATTAAAAAGTGTGTAAAAAGTATTATTATAGGGGCTTTGTAGTGAAACAGTGAAGTACGACTTCCATCTTTCTTATGTTTTTGATTTTACAAATATGTGTTAGTAATATTCAAATAAATAAAAGTTTACCATGTGAGATAGGAACTTGATGCCCTGACTGTTTAATAAATTCATTCTTTATTGAATTACATCATAAATTCTTTTGGCAAAAAAAAAAAGAAAAAGAATGTTGGATCGGTCCAAACATTCTAGGCCGGCCACTAGCATGAACTAAATACCTGCATCACAAAAACTCCCTCATCACATTTGGTTTCCTATCCCTGTACACACGCCGCACATCTAACTTGACTCACATCTGGGAATCTCCTTGTCTTACACATTTTACACACTACTCTTCATTGCTATTATTGTGCTGAATTTTAGGCTCATAGCTACTGTTCCATTCACATTGCCTGAGATCTGTGCGATGATTTTATTGTTAAACTCTAGTTCTTACTATTATCTCATTATATCACTATTATATTGATATATTATATCTTAAACAATAATATAAATCATTAAAAATATTATCACCCAATACCTTAGACTTTATTTGGGAGTTTGGAAGGGAAGAAAAGAAATTCAAGGGAGAGGAAGGAGAATGAAAGAAAGGAAAATGAAGGGTAATATAGTATAGTTTGTAAATAAAATATTTTTCATATATATATATATATATTTTGGAGAAATATATATTGTAATTTTAGTTCAATCTTGACACAAATATAATAATTCTATCTTGATTTTCATTTTCATTCCATAGAATATATTCTGTCACCCTTAACCTTTCTTAAAACTAGAAATATTTCGTGACAAACACGAATAAACCTAAAGAGATTCGAAGATTGAAATTCACTTCGAGTCTAAGTGCTTGCAGTCTGGTGATCGTTTTTTCTTTTCTTTTCCCCGAGCAAAAGTGGTTTATGTTTTTGGTTGTAAACGTCCATGAGATCATGATTTTAATGGGAGAAAGGTCCATAAAGTGGCAATCGGCCCAAGCAAAGAAACAAATCTCATGATTTTTATGTTTGATCATTATTGACTCGATATCAAAACTTAAATCTCTTATTAACTAGGGCTATGTTTTACGTTCTTTTAATAATTGAGAGCTTTAATTATTATGAGGATTTTTAGATTGAACGTTTAGAACATGGAATATTAAAAAAAAAAAGTTAAAGTAATTGAACCGACATTGTCAAAATTGAGATGATTGTGATAATCTTCCTAATTAAATAATGTTTTGACCTTTTGACTTTTGGTTTATAAGACGGGAAAGGTTATAGTTATTACTTTTTTTTTTTTTACTACTTGTTACTATCAAATTTTAACTGTTGATTTTTGTCAATCTAACGGTTATAATTTATTGTGTCATATTTATTAATTAATTATTAATTCTAATAAATTATAACCATTAAATTGACGAAAATCAACGGTTAAAATTTAGTAGTAATAAAAAATAAGAAGAAGAAAAAAAAGTAAGTATAACCTCTCCCTTATAAGACATATGTCCACTTATTTATGTTGTACGAGAGATGTGCCAAAATAACATTACACTATATACAAAATGCTCTTAGCCAGCCACGCATTAATTTTGATTTTTACGAATTAATTTTGATTCCAAACCGATTTAGAACTGATTAGTGAAGAAAAAAAATTAGTTCAATTCTTATGGTTCTCAAACCAATTTAGGCAAAGTGTTTCAGTTCTTGAACAGGCTTTATATAAAGTGGTTCGATTATTGAATTTTTTTAATCTAATTTAATCTTTTTTACCAATATGGCTGAATTCTTTAAGCATGCTGATAAAGGTTCGATCTTTGATCATGTGTATAAAAAAGACTTTATTGATAGAGGCAAAATTCATTTCGATGATCTTTACATCTCGAAAAAATTAATTTTCGGCTATGTGCTGAAGAATTTCTTGAGAAAATTCAAAAAAAAAAAATTGAAATTTTTGCACAGTCCTACAGAAAGGCACATTTCATTGGATCAATAAAGGAATTTTACTTTTGTATCTATAAACAGAGATAAATATTATCTCACCACACCGAATCTCACTCCTCTTGTACACAATTTCATGCATCATGTGAGAACCCTTGCCTAACACCTAATGGGATACACAAGGACAAAAATCGTTATGACTATCTCTTACATCATTTTAAAATTTTCTCCATCTTAGAGCACACCTTTTGCTTTGTGTACTGATTTTTCTTACTTCGGAATACAGCCACAAAGCTACTGTTTCCTATACTCTTCCTTTGATTCTCAGCTTCTACGTATGTTGAGCCTATGTTTATATCTGTAACTCATTAAATTATTGTTATATTGATATGATACACCCTTGAGAAAAACAGACCTAAATCTACCACACAAACTGTTCATGATTAATATCAACATTATATAAGAGGCCTTCCAAAGTAGGAACAACACACTCCCATAACTGGCTATTCAGTGCTAGATAACTTGTGGTCTATTCGTAGCACGACCTATAAATATTCTCTCTCTGAAGTTTTGCGAATTTAATTAACTTCCCAAACATCCCCTACCTGTAACTCATTTCAATTTAATTCTTACAATTACAACTCTTATATACGAGTATATATATTAATCACACTTCAGATAGAAAGAGAAGGGGGAACACAAAGCCCTTGCTAAAACAGAACTTTCCTATATTAATAATGAAATCCCAACCTCTCCTTGTCCCTGCTGATTACTATCTACGAAGGAACAATAAAATTTTCACAACGTACTTAAATTTTCAAGCTAACACAGAGATTCCATATTCTTCAGATGATGAAGGCTGTAAGGCACGAATGCGAATGTCATATTTCATATGATTCGATGCTTCGGAGCCAGGAGATGGTCTTGTCCCGTTTGATGCAAGAGAAAAAAAGGATGAAGTGTGAACATTGTAGGCGTTTCCAATATGGTTGCAACACTTACGACAAAGAAGCTTAGTTTTTCGGCGGAACAAACCCCATGAGCGCTTAGAAAAACGGGGGGTGCATTCAATTTCATCAAACTGGGTAAATCTGCTATCATCAATATTGTAGAATGATATAATACCTCGCTTTATGGATTTCCCATATTTAGAACCGATGGATGAGGTGTTCCGGTTAGACGAGGATAGGTTAAGCTCGTACCCGCAAGTACCACATCTGCCAAAACAAAAGAATTATCATGTGTAAATCTTGATCATGAAGAACCAGATAACTCTTGGATTTGAATTATGTAATGATATGAACACAATTTTGGAAACAGATCCTCTGTGAAAGACTCAAAACATCAATTATCTTTCCAATTAGTGACAGAGTTAAATTATATCAAAATTTTCTTCTTCACAAGAGTAGATCACTTAAATAATCTAAAAGAAGCCACTTAATATTCAAATGCTATTGAGATTCAAAATAAACAACCAATCCTTTTCCAAGAAAACCATCTTAGTGTGTTACCCTTCAACATATGGGTCTAACCTGCATAGTGTTGTTATACAAAGCTAAAGGTTATGGTCCAGATATACTATTTCAATTTCAGAGGGTCTAGAAACATCATACTGATAGCAACAACCACAACAGGAGAAACAAAATCTAACGAAACTTTACACAGTTATAAGTTGAACCAAAACATGTCATGGATTGGATGGAATATCCAAGAAGAATCAAATTAGTAACTGTTTTTTCAGTTATACAAACACCAAAGAAAGGCATGACGGGTATTTATTCGAAAACAAGCAAATTCATATTGAAATTCTAATATGGAAAAAAGGAATTTTGTGACAAACCCAGCAGGCCCAATACCAAACCGAAGCCGAATCTAAGAGAGAAGAGAGAGAGAGAACCTGTAGCGGACATCCCTTTGAGAAGAACATGAATAGGAGGAGCAAGTTCGATTATAGTGAACATCTCCGTTGTTAAACACCGAATTATCCATGTTGAGAATTGAGATTATATTTTCCGATGAATATAATCACTGCCGAACAAGTAAAGGCCACACATTAATTACAGGAAAAACGAAAGTAACTGCAACCTTGGTAGTTAACGTTGTTGCGGGAACGTGTCCAGCGTACGACGACTTTGACTCACCCCAAACGATGCCGCATTGTTGGTGTTACAAGCGAATGTTTTAGACGACATTTTTACAATACACTACTTACCTAGTCTACTCACTCTACTGTCTTTTTTTTTTTTTTTTGGTACCTACATATATTTTCAACTTTCAACGTCATATAATTTTTTTGTGTGTGTCAATTATAATTAATTAGTCTCATGAATCATTATTACAATAATTTAAGAAAACAATAACGTCGGGTGAAGAAAATTATATCTATTACGTCAAATAAAAATCTAAGAATCTTTTATGTTCAGCCGGTTCTTCACCGACACAAAGGCAATAAGAAATTCTCAAGTATGCCAGTTTGGGTGACGCGTGTAAACGAAGTAGGTTCCAAGTGCCAACGAGGAAAAAGAAGAAGGTACCAAAAACCAAAATGAAGAGGCGTGGACAAATGAAATTTTGCTTGCCCTTCCTGTTACGGTTTATTATTTTCCAAGAGAATAGTGTATGTGATTTTAAAGAATGTAAAATTATATTATTTTAAGGTGTGTATGACAATATTTTCAGAATTAATTCTTTTTTAATTTCTGTTCCCGGGAACAGAAATGGATAGGAAACTCGTTGGTAAAATTGATTTTTTTGTTCCCGGGATAAACCGGTTTAATTTTTGTGCTGGGGAATAGAAAAAAGAATCAAAATTTTTTTGCTTTTTTATTCTCAAGCACAAAATGAGAAACATGTATCTCTCAATCACTCTCCACCTATACCATCATCACCACCATCACAATCATCCCGACATGACTGCCGCCACCATCGTACCACTAGTGCCGTCGTCACCACCCCTTACTACTACGATGCCACCGCCACCATTTCCACCACCTTCACCCATCACTACCACCATGCCACTGTCACCACCACCACAACTACCACCGCCGCCACCGTCACCATCACCACTACCACCATCATCGCAACCACCACCACCCTCGTCACTGCCACCACTATCACCACCACGACGCCACAACTACTATCACCATCACTGTCACCAACCACCACTACCATTGCCTAGCCACTACCGTCACCACCACTGCCGTGGCCGCCGCCACCACCATCGTCACAACCATTATCACCACCACCACCATGGCCACCATTACACCACCCCCGCCACTACCATCACCTCGCCATCGCCACCACTACCATCACCACCACCGCCACCGTCACCGCCACCGTCACTGCCACCACCACCTCACAACCACCACCACCATGCCACCCGCCGCCACCACCACCACAACCACACCATATGGAAATGAAAGAGATGATATGAAATTTTTTTATATTTAATAGGAATTATTTTTTATTATATTATTTGTTATGTTATCAAACACAATTCTCATTCTGAGAATAAAAATAGAATAGGTTATGAAACACATTTTTTTTTCAGAAACTGTTCCAAGGCACAAAAATAGAAAATAATTGTTTCTTTTCAAAAACAGTGCTAGGGAATAGAATGATTGTCATGCACACCCTTAGTGACAGAAAGAGATAAATTATGAGGAGAGAGAATGGACAAAAAAAAGTGTGGGTCTCATTTTTTTGTGAGAGTGAAATGATACAAGTTGGGTCATTTAAAACGAGAAACATTTTTCCATTTTCTAAATTATTGAAATGTTTAAATAGTGGGAAGTTATTTGAATTTCAACTCTTAGGCCATAATTATTAGTGAAGCCTATCTAGTGTTAGTGGACAGTTATTTTTAAGGTTGTCTTGTATTATTTATTTAGAACCCGTTTGGATTAGTTTCAAAAAAAATGCTTTTCATGTCTTGTTATTTTAAAAGTGCTTTTTACTATAGCTTTTAGATTTTTAAAAAAATATTTGGCTTTTGACTTCTACTTTTTTTATAAGCTAAAAGTTTTAGCTTACAAAAAAAATAGGTTTTTGACTTTTTTTTACGACTTCTGCTTTTTTTAAAATCAGGTATCCAAACATACTTTTTCTGAGAAGTGCTTTTTTCGTAAAAAAAAAAAGTAACTTTTGGAGGGGAAAAAGCTCATCCAAATGAGCTCTTAAACTTTGAAGTATTTGAATAAAGATCATCATAAGAGATGAATTATTTGTGTGCACTTGTTTGTGTACTTGAGACAGGGTTCCCTCAATTGAACTCAAATCCCTATTTTCGTCCAAAATATGTGTATGTAACAACTTGGTATCAAAGCCAACCAGGTATGGAGAAACGATTGGAAAAACTAGAAGATGCAGTTCAGAGGCACTCCCGTTAAATTGAAGGAGATGTTCACCAAACCCTCCAGACAGTTAGAACTCTTGTACCAACCACCAAACTCTTCCATTTTCATTGCTCTCATTTCATTCATGATGCTTCCACACCCAAACATTTCTCTTTTTCTAGCTATATCCACCAAACAAGCAACTCCCTTAACACTACCATTATTATTAAAATTTGAATATGGTCAAAGTGTCTTAATAAAACAAAACCCCTCAACCAAGACACCAAATTTTTGGTTTAGACGATATCCAATGAGAAATTCACTTCTAAAATTCTTTGAGAAGAGGAAAGAAAGAGTTGTGACTAGAGGATATTTTCCAATCAACAACAATGATGAGGCGAAAATGGATATTCAAGATGATTCAATTGCTTGATCTTAATCTTATTCTTGAGGACCAGAGTAATTTTTAGAGGGAGGGAATGATATAGGTTTATTATTTTTATTATTTTCAAATTGTTGGGTTGTTTAAGTAGTAGATAGTTATTTGAATTTCAACTTTCCTAAAGGATAGGCCATAGCTATTAGTGAAGCATATCTAGTGTTAGTGGATAGTTATTTTTAAGGTTGTCTTCTATTATCTATTTAAAACTTGAAGTAGTTGAACTCAAATCCCCTATTTTCTTCCAAAATTGATGTATATAACAACTTTTTATAAGAACCTTGGGATAATTTTAGGGTAGCTCAAAGAGTGACAGTTCCCAATGCTTTATAAACCCCACATTTGTTTCCCATACAATCAATGTGGGGACTTCAAGTCCATACCTTGCAAATAAGTCCTAACATTCGACCACGCTCTGTAGCCCTGCGCCCACGTGGACTAGTCTTTTACTAACCCCGGGCAAACACTGCAATGCTAGCATCACCTCCCGCGCCGCTCGATTGCAATCGGGAGACATAGTGAAAAACTCTGATATTATTTGATAAGAACCTTGAGATGCACCACCCCAAAAGCTAGCTCAAAGGGTGGAGTGCCCAAAGCCTTATAAATCTTAAATTTGTTGCCCACAAAATCAATGTAAGACTTCAAGTCCCACACCTTGCAAATGGGTCCTAACATTAAATGTTAAGATCTAATTACAAGGTATATGACTTGAGTCCCACATTGGTTATATGGATGCTAATGTGGGATTTAAATGGACTTTGAGTTCTCTTACCTCTTGGGCTAGCTTTTGAGATGAAGTTCTCCCAAGGTCCATATCATTTGGTGTCAGAGCCTGTCAACCATGTCTCCCAGTTGCAATAGAGAGGCGCGGCCTGGTGACGCTGAAATTGTAGTGTTCACCCATGGCTAGTAAAAGACTAGTGCAAAGCCAAGCCCATATGGGCGCCGAGACTGCGGAATGTGATGGAATGTTAAGATCTAATTGCAATGTATGGAACTTGAGTCTCACATTAATTATATGGATCAGTAATGTAAAATTTATATGAATTTTGAATTCTCCTACTTCTTGCACTATCTTTTAAGTTGAGATTCTCCCCGGATTCGTATCAGTTGCCCTCAACGTCTTCTCATCTTTCAATAAAACAATAATCAAAAGTTTATGTGCCATAAATTATAGTGATATTTATATGACAATTTTAAATCATTTTTTGCACAATCAAATGTCCTTTTAGATGCAGCCTCACTTATTAATCACGTAAATGCGGAGATTAAACTGTTATCATCGGTGGAATATTTACATTACGTATAATCATGATGAAAATCGAAGAAGCAATGCCTTTGTTTCCCCAGGTCTATTGAATCAATAACCATGAAAGAGTTATTTAACAGGTATCTTCTTTACTCGTAATTCCTTTTAGCATGAGAGAGAGAGAGCTGTTTTCTTTTTTGTGCAGTTTACACCTACGAAGCACCGATATTCTGAATTTTTTTTCCAACGTATCCGATACGCATATCGGAAACATATTGTATCGTGTCGACGAATTAATAGTTGTATCAAGAACGTATCGGGAACGTATCAAAAACGCCGTGTCGGAATCTGTGCTTGATAGCTTTACACCATGAAAAGGAGTCATTTTCTTGCGAGTCGCTAATGAAAACTGAGGATAGAGGTTTTAACGTTGTCTCAGTGTCAGTTTTTATAGAGAGACGATAGAGGTTTTATTAATGCTGAGTTATATTATGACGGGTAAACAAAGCAAATTTTAAGTATTAATGCAGATTTTATTTGCTCATGACCCGGGTGATGTATCTATCTATTGAGATAACTTGCAATTATGCAGAGAGATGATGGAGCTGTTTACGAGGAACTCAATGCACTGATCACATAGATGAACAAAATAAGTTTTAATTTCTTAAAGTACAAACAAAGGGGGTTAGTATCTAATCTTCCTCCTCATCGGTAACAAATTTACCAGTTCCAGGATTCAAAGCAGCAATGAAGAAGAAAGCAACATTGAACAACACTAGCGGTTCAATTTCATTAATTGGCACCCCAGTCTCAATGTTGAGCTGGGCTAGAGCTCCCTTCCCAGTAATAATTTCTCCAATCAAAGAGAAAGCGAAACCCAGTTGAGCCAATCTTCCCACAAAGAGCTCGTTGGATTTGGTAAATCCAAATAAAGGACCTAGTAATGCACAAAAGAAAGCAACCCAAAATGTTCATCAGAATTCTAACTGCTTATGTTTAAAGCAACTTTGTCATATTCAGACAAGTCAATTTAGTTATAATAATAATGGACCTCAATTTTGAAAGTTAGAAATGAGAAATTGAGGATTCAGAAAGCTTACCTCCTTCCCTGAGACCAAGAGCACCTCTGACGCCTTTGCCTGGAGGAATAACAGGTCCAGTAGCAGGTTCATCATCGTCAACAAATTTACCACGGTCACCTAGAGCTCCAATGGCTCCAAGCAAGGTGAAAAGGATGAAAAAAAGGAGAAGAGGCTCAGCTTCATAAATTGGAATTCCAGTTTCCAAATTAAATTGTGATAGAATTCCTTTGCCAGTAATTCCTTCACCCAACAACGATGCCTGCAAATGCAGCAACCTATGGCATAAATTTATCTACCCTTTTTGGCAATTACTTGAAAGGAATAATTCTAAATCCTCATAACTAGTTTTCTGATAATTTTCTTAATAAATAAACGAAGAGAAAACTACATATTTTTTGATATATTAGATTAGATGCATTCATTTTTTTTATATTTAATATTTTTATTAAATATTAAGAAGATTAATAAAAAAATTATATTTTGAAAAGATAAGAAAACATGTGGCAAGGAAGTGATAGATAAAAGAAAGGAAATTTTTACTCACCGCAAAACCGAGCATGGCAGCACGACCCACAAAGAGCTCGTTCTGCTTGGTAAAACCAAATCCTCCAGAAGTGCCAAAGATGCCATCTTCAACCTTTGGCTTTGGCTTCTCAACCTGAATTAATCTCGTGAAACCAAATTCAGTGTGCTGGAAAATGCAAACTCTAGATTAGACAGAAGTTTAATTAAAGAAAAAGAACCTTCTTTGGAGGGGCTTTGGTCTTTGATTTGAAGAGAGCCAGAGTTGTGAATGTACGGGATGAAAAAACCAAAGAATTTGAAGGAAGTGGGTTGAATGAGATATGAGAGAACCTAGGCCTTAATCTTTGACTCTGTAGTTGGAGCAAAGGGTCTTTCTTCAAATCCACGGAATAGCTACTTGAAACACTAGACATGAGCAACATGGTTTGAGCCATTGCTTCAGTAGGAAAACCTTGTTACTTCACTATGTTCTGAGTGGTTTCCAAGATATTATGAAGAGTTTACCAAAATATAGTAGAATGGGAATACAATCTTTAACAGAGGTGTGGATGTCATGTAAGAGTTAATGACAGGCAACTAGAGTGCCCACGTCAACTTTTTCCATATGTGGTGTGTTGTGATAATGTTTTGATTTGAGGCATTACAAACATAATTTTTGGGGCCTCTACTTTTCTTTTTCTGCCTCAAACTTTAATAGACTCACTCGAGTAAATTTCTTTCTCTTTGTAATTTGTTTTACCCGTTGAGTTTAAAATCTAAATGAAGCTGAAATTTTTTCTTATTGCATCCGACTCCGAGTGTTAGTACTTAGTACAATTGAAAAGCGATGGTAGCTAAGAACAAGGGACATGTGTCTACGACCCATTGGAACTCTGACACAGGTCTTATTCGGTGCACAATTTTAGAATATCCACTGCATTAGGTCGACGTGGCAAATCAGGATTTGTCAACCCGAGATTTCTTTGTCTACTCCTCCCTAGCAACTGGGGGGTAATAATGTAATATTACATTTAAAAATGAGTTTATATTTGAAATACGTTATAATTTAGGACAAAAATTATTTTAAATAAAATAAAATTATGTTATTTTAAGTGAAAAATAGACATAAAATAATATTTTTTTTTAAAATTTAAATTAAAAAAATTATCTACTTTCTCTCTTATAATTTTTATTTTTTATATCTATCCCTCTTTTAAAATGACATAACTTATGTCCTTTACAAGAAAAAACATCAAATCTGTCTTTTTGACCCTTATAACCCTTTATTAATAATTAATTACCAATTTGACCTTGATTATAAACTATTTCAAAAATTTAACCTCCTCAAAAAACATAACATCAATTTGCCCATGTTTGACCGTTGACCACCAAGCCTACCCCGGTACACCCCTCGCTACCCGGGTATTTTTTGAAAAATTTTGCCTACCCGGGTAGGTAGGGGTGTACCCGGGTAGTGTTCTTCGAATCTGAGAATTTGCTTGCATTATTTACCCGGGTATGGAGGGGTGTACCCCGGTAAATGTCGACGGTAGGGTTTTTTAACAAGCCAGCAGCCCCATTTGGAAAACCCACAAAGTGGTACCCGAGTAGAGCTGCTGGAAGTTCCTTGTGTTGCGCGATTGAGGACGAAATCTTGCTCAAATTCTTCGTGGTTGTGATCATTAGTTCGTGCATTATGAGTCTCTGCCTTTTACCGATTGAAATCCATCCAAGGTAAAAAAAAATTTCTTTCTGGATGTTTCCTGTTCTGATTTCATCCAATATGTTTGTCCCTTATTGCGTTTTTGTAGTTTGCATGGTTATGTAATTTGATTTTGACCGATTAATTTTTGAAAAAAAGTGGCCCTAACCCTAACCCTAACCTGTATATATCTGATTTCTGATTTTGGTTATTTTTTCAGTTTAATAGTGTGACGCAATGACCTCTAGACGCGTTTCAAAGCTGCCAGTGACCCATTCCGAGAGAAGAACCAAGAGTCGTCACGATGGAGGGTCATCCTCTCAGCCCCAGGCTGCTTCGAGTCAGGCTCCGGACTTGACGTTCGGATATCTGTTTGAGGATGACATACTTGCACACGAGAGGTTCGTGAAGTATTTCATGAGCCGGAAGATCTGCGAGCCGAAATCACTGAATTCGGCCTTCTTCAACTTGGAGCGGTTCGACATTGTGCCGCTTCTTGAGGAGACACATTTAGTTGACCTGGCGGAGATGCGGTGCCCATACTCGGAGGTTATGGTAAGAGCCTTCTACCAGAACCTTGGGTACTCGCAAGGCGAGCTGACTTCCCGTGTCTGCGAGATTGATATCATCATGACTGCTCCTATCTGGACGAAGCTACTGGGGTTTGATTTTGATGGTGTCACAGGAGCAGCACTATATGATGGAGACAACCATAACATATTTGGTGATTATGACCGGGAGGCCATTGTTACAGAGACTAGGAGGGCAGACGCTGAGCCCGGACATTTTGCTCATTATCTTGTGAGCAACTTGTCGGTGTCTGCTCGCATTCTTCATTACGTGCCCAGTGTAATTTTCATCGTTTTTTCCTTCAAATCGGACACCGTTCGGACCTTCAAAATGCCTTCCATTGTAGTAAATAACTATAGAAACCATGTTTGAACTTGAACTCATCTTTCATACGAAAATTAGGTCTAGGTTTTGGGTTTAGAGCTTGGTTCGGATTTTTGAGCACAAAATGGGATTGTGGATGTGTAATCTTAATGTCCTACAAAGATTAACGTTGAGAAATTGATGACATGAAATATATTTGTGTTGTTTCAGTCGAGAGAGCTCAAGGGACAGAGATTTGGGGGGCAAAAATCCTAAATCTCGCAACAATAGCCGAAACCCATTAATATTGGGGTTTCTGGACGACATTTACCCGGGTACACCCCTCCATACCCGGGTAAATAATGCAAGCAAATTCCCAGATTCGAAGAACACTACCCGGGTACACCCCTACCTACCCGGGTAGGCAAAATTTTTCAAAAAATACCCGGGCAGCGAGGGGTGTACCCGGGTAGGCTTGGTGGTCAACGGTCAAACATGGACAGATTGGTGTTATGTTTTTTGAAGAGGTTAAGTTTTTGAAATAGTTTATAATCAAAGTCGAATTGGTAATTAATTATTAATAAAGGGTTATAAGGGTCAAAAAGCCCATCAAATCTATTTATTTATTTTAAATTTTAATTAATAACAGTTACGATATATTTTAAAATAAATAACAACGAGTACATAATTATTTTATCCTTAAAAAAAATCTGAAAAATAAAGCATTAAAATTTTACACTTTTTCTTCGTTACTTGTAACATATGTTTTTTTAAATGAACCATACAGACTGACTGTCCTCGCTTTTTCTTTGAGAAATTATTAAATAAACTTGAAGTTAAAAAGTAAAAAAAAAAATGTGTATAATTAAATATCAGCTATATAAATTATTATTATTATTGATTTTTAATTAAATTTATTATGTTAACAGCTATAACTTATTTATAAGAATGTACGGCTTCAAATCATGATCAATAAAAGAAATTCCTGTAATTTTGTCCCAATATTGTTTTTTGGGTCAAGGTTCTCGCTCTCACCGGCGGTGGAGTTTGGGAGGCATTGGGGTGGATTCTAACTTCCTTCAAATTTATATAAATTTTTATATTAGACCTCATTCAAACTTTAAAAAATAAAATTAACATAAGTTTATTCCCTAAAATTCAATGATTCTTCATATACTAAGAAAGGACAGGTTATATTTACAAACTTTTCTGTTTACAACTTATTACAAACTACACTATATTTTGCCGGGAGAACACTCGTTTCACTATGTTTGTAAAAAAATTTAAAAAAGTTTGTAAATGAATCCTTCCCCATTAAGAAAATTTAAAAAAACAATTCTTTAAATTTGGTATATGGATTTTACTTACTTCACCTCTCACAAAATTTTATCGCTCAGTCTTTGTGTGCGCGACGTACTCCCGATCTCACTTTACTTTTACTAATGAAGCAAGGTAAAAATGTTAAATAAAAATAAAGCAACGTAAAAGGTTGACAGAAAAACTGTGCAGTATTAGCAAAATAAAAATAAAAATTGGGAGAACAAAGGATGTTAAAAATATACAATTTGAAGCTTATATTTTTTAGCTTTTTATTATTAAATAAAGTTTTACGTTGATCTCATTAAAAAATTAAATTTATTTTTGATAAGTCGGGTTAACGCGTTATTTCACTTACACTTAATAATAGAAAATATTACAAACATACATTTAAGCTTTTCTCTTTTGAAGAATATATGTTGCTCTCGTCGTATAAATGTTTCGCTTGTATGAGTTTGATCTTTTTTTTTTTTTTTGATAACATTAGGGGGCGAAGCCCCAAACAAAAACAAACAAACAACCAGAAACAAAAAATAACTATCCAGGGTCTATATCCCTACAAGAGGAGATTTCCTGAAGATCGTGATCAAATAACTTAGCAAGGTGAAATGACATAACTCTATGACTCCAGAATCCAGTATCTTTGTGAAGAGCAGACTTGGCTAACCAATCAGCACAGGAATTAGCTTCTCTTGGAATATGAGAAAGCGTTACCTCCCAATCCTGACCGATGAGTGCTTATATCTTAGCCACTATACGAGGCTGACAAGCTGCATTGCAATCAGCAAGCAAAGAGAATACTTCAGAAGCATCTCCTTCTAGTTCCACCTTCTTAAATCCCAGTTGCCAAACCAATTCCAGACCTTTTAGAGTTCCCCAAAGCTCCGCCATTAAAGGAGTGCAAGCACCAATATGATACTCAAAGCCTCCCAACCAAGAGCCATCACCAGATCTGATAATCCCACCACAAGCAGCCACCTCAGTATTCCTTTCAACTGCCCCATCAATATTAATCTTCACCCAATTTAACCTTGGAGGTTTCCATAAACTCATACGAGTTGGATGAATGCTAGTAGTAGCCATAGCCTTCCTACCCATACAGTTACGAACTTCCTCTATATACATAGCAATTATGTGCGTTCCATGGGTTGGATGCTTGAAGTTAGTATCAGGGACACTTTTGTTCCTCCATCCCCAAATGAACCAACAAGAGATAAAAAAGACATCACGCCAATCATCTGAATTACTTTGATTCCAAGCTTTTAAGATATTATTTTCAACCCAATCTCTAAGATCCAAGCTGTAGAATAAGCTTTGCCGATTAGCTGAAACCAGAGAATTCCAAACACTTCTAGCATGCTTACAATCTCTTAGAACATGGAGGTTTGTTTCCAACTCACCAGGACATATTTTACAATGACCAGATTCCCCACTCCATCTAGATGTGCGGTCTTTAGTAAGAAGGCGGCCATGCATTATGATCCACATACAAGATTTAACACGTTGAGGCCCATGCCATTTCCATATGGTAGTCCAAGAATTTTTCAATGGCATGAGAGGGAAACCAAGCATGTTATAATACGCGGTTTTAACTAAAGAGCAGCCAACCTTTTGATTTCTCCAAATAATGCGGTCATTTCCATCC